CTGTTGGCCTGGCCGGCGTCCCTCGGGCCGGGAGCAGCGCCCTGGGCCGGGCTGTCCAGGACCAGGACCCCTCCGTGCTGCCCGAGGTGCTTCCTCAGCCCTGTGCTGTTTTCCAGGGAAGGCTCCGCGCGTTTCTTCTTGTCGGAGGCGAGGGAGGGGATTCCCGGGGGCCTTGGCCGCTGAGGGTGGGCGGGAGGCATTCCCTGGAGCCGGCCTTCCCCGGAGTTCCCGCTGGCACTGCCCGTGCCCTGCGCTGGACCTTTCACCTGAACAGCAGCAGCAGCTGCTGAGCTAAAAACGTCTTTGCTGAGAGCCTGGCCGGGTTTCTCAGCATAGGGCAGGGATCCTACATGCAAAAAAAAAAAAAAAGAGAGAAAACCGGTGTTTTAAGTCTTTTATTCCAAGTGCTTTAGAATGGGAGTATTTGAGGCTCTAATCCATAAGTGAGGTCTTCAACAATAAGGCAAAAAAATTAATAAATAGCTCAATATATGAAGCACAGTAAAGCTCCTCATTCCTCTACTCAGATATTGAAGTTCCAGTACAGGGAATGCAGCTGTGTGAGCAAAACAGGAGATTTGCATTTTTACTTTATTATTGTTGCAAATTAAAAACAAACCCTTTTCTCAAACCTCTGAATCTCCAGGGAACATCTGAGAAAACAAGATTTCACGTTGCCATTTGGGATGCTTGTTTAAAAGACCATGACAGCAGAACTATTTGGTTTTCCCATCCATGGGATGCCTGTTGACAGTGTCATCCAAACTCTTCAGCAGCTTTGGAAAGGTCTTTATCCACAGTTTTGGGTCTATGACTTGAGCATATAGTAGCAGTAATTAGGCTAGTGCTGCTGAGTAACAATTATTCCAAGGCTTTGCTTCATTTAAGAGGGCAAGGGTTGAGAAAGAGAAGAAGTGAAAAGTGAAGGAAAAAAATAATGGCACTGTTCACACAAGCTGGTCAGTCACCTACACTTTCATTTATACCTTCACTTTGACCTCTTGAACCTCACAAAGCAAAATGACCAAAATGTTTAGCCTGGCAGGAGAGTAATTTCCCCTGGCAATCCATTTTCCTTTTCCTTTAGCCCTTCCCTGCATGTGTGGAGTGAGCCAGCAGAGTTTTCACACAGCTCACCCACACACAGCCTCTGTCTGCTGTTCACGGCCGTGGTTATTCTGTGTAGGAGGCTGATCCCGGTTCCTTGTGTGAAAAGAGAGATTTGACATACACAGATGAACAATATCCTGGTTTATCTCCTATAACTGACTCAACTGCTGACCTTGCCACTTCTCCCCCTGTGCTCTCACCAGCTGCTGTCATGGGAAAGATTCTCTGATATTTGGGCTGGCCACATGTAAAGTCAAAAGAATGTCCATGGAGAGAGGGGTGGAAGAAGTCCAAGCTGCTGAAAGCAGCAGGCAAGGGGGGTTTGGAGATGGTTCAGTGTGGAGCTGTGCCCTCTTGAACAGGTGTCTCAGACTTGGGTGTGTAAATAAACTCTTCTAGCACTTTTATCACGCCTTCTCAGTCACGGATTTTATCAATAAATAGTTCATTTTTCTCTACTTAATCTGTTCAGGACCTTGAGGTTCTTCCTCCTGCACCAGCATATTCCTGTCTCGTTGTTGCAACCTAAGAAATATTACTGTAACATAACCAAATCCCAGTGGAACAGATGTAAATGCTATTTCTGTTCTGTCAGTGAGGCACTAAAACCCAAATAAATCCACTCAGAACAGCTTGCTGCAGGCACACAGGGCACACTGAACATATTAAAGTCAGTCAGACACCTGGAGTTACAGGTGAAGGAGACTAAAAGAGAAAGGTCACATAAAAATTATAAAAATCCCAGATGCAGAGCAAATCCAACTTCACCTGCCACTGGTGGCTGGCAGGACAGAGCAACAGCTCCCTGCCTGCTTCTGCCAGGTGCCCTTAATTTTTCTCAATGCTGGCAAATAAAATATTGCAATTTACATTCCCATCCCACAAACACGTTGAAATGTTTCTTTTTTGAGCCCTTATTTGCTGAAAAGACTGGGGGGCTGCTCGGGCAAGGGTTTGTAGGAATGTCTTCAGCCGCCCCTGATTCCCAAGGCAGACGTGCCCCAGCCCCACTCCGAAGGTAGCAGACTTACCAGAAGATGATCTAATGACAAAACAGAGGAGCCAGAACACTCGAGTTGTCATTTTGAAGTAAAGATTTTCCAGACTCAAAATGAACTGGAGTCTTTTATGCCCTTCCCCTGATTCATGCTAATGAGAGGCAGCCTGAGGGGAAACGGGAATCACTCGCTGGACAACCCACTGGAGCAAGACCAAGCTGCTGCCTCCACCAGCCCTGCCTGGGAGGAATGTGCTCCTTCCCATCGGGAACAACCCCCTGGCTGCATCACCTGTGTCCTGGCAATAACACACCCACACACAGTTTTGGCAGCAGATTTTTATTTGGGGGACAGTCTTGCCCTTCTATGGCACTCTGTAGGGGAAAAAATCATAGGGAACGAGCCTGGTTTTCCTGGCTATGGAGAACTGTGTTCTGGAAGGGAACTGGGAGATTCTGGAACACACCAGAACCCTGGGATGCAGGGTCTGGAAAGGATGTGCATGACAATGGAACATATCTGGAGATTTCTGGCCACCTTCAGTGATACAGCTGCTAATCTCCTTTTTTTTTCAGGAACCAGTTTCAGTGATTCTTTTCAGACTGAAAAATGCAGTAGTGACTGTCCAGTCCAAGGGAAAGCTCTGCTGATCCCACACAGCTTTATTTTTAAATCTCTCTTAGCCATCATGAAGAACTCTGCAAATTTTCACACAGCAAGCCAACCCTGATTTGGATTACTGAATTAAGAAGACTTATTTCTAAGTGACCTTATTGCTACACAAGATTTCCATCGTGACAGTTTAACTCACCAGCTGCTGCCGGGTGCTGTGGAAGCTGTTCTTGACTTTAAGGGACAATCAACAACTTAAAAACTCCATAAAGGCACTGAAAGGCTCCTGAAACCCACTCCTGACAGAAAATCTAACCTTCAGCAATGCCTGTGGCATGGGATTCAGTGTTGCTTAGTTTAACCAGTTTGTTTTGTCCTGCTTGAATTAAGCATTTAAATAGATTCCCAAAAGCTCAGGGCTTTGTCTCCAGCAGTGATGGGTGAAGATACATTGACACACAAATGACATTTCACCACATCTGTTAATCAAGGAGTTACATTTCTACTGCAGCACTAACTAATCCTTGTTTTCCTCTGTTATTTGAAACATTTTAATTCCAGAACTATCCCAAGATATCTATTACAGGAATAGGAATGTAAACTGAGGATGAGGGAGAGGAGGGCTCCTACACTGCTTTGGTGACCAGCAGGTACCTGCAGCAAGCAGGAAAAGCTGGAGTGTGAGTGCTTGGATGGATGGATGGATGGATGGATGGATGGATGATGGATGGATGGGTGGATGGGTGGATGGGTGGATGGATGGATGGGTGGATGGACATGTGAGCATCCCACAGATTTGTATTCCAAGGATTCTTCTGTTGAATTAGATGGTGGTCCAATTCAGCCTTCATTCATGTATGGCTGTGTCTGCACTGTTTCCCCAGACTTTACCTGGACAGGATCTCCATTAACAGCACAGTAGTGCTGCTTGGAGTATTCCCAGCATTCCAGCAGCCCCGGGATGCTCAGCAGTGGAGATGGAAAAGCTTTCTCAGTGGACCTGGGCAAAACAGTGACCGACAGCGCCGTGGCCACCTCCGGGCCCAGGTGTTCCCGGCTGTGGCTCTCCCCGAGATCTCGAGAGGCGAGCAGGACCCACTAGCAGGATCTCCGCATGAAGGGCGGAGAGGGAGGCAGCCCCAGGCCGGACGCGATGCCGGGGCAGCGAAGGGACTCGGAGGCCAAGCCCGGGGCGGCTGCGGGTAAAAGAGTCGGGGGTGCCGTGCCGGGCGAGGGGTGGCCTTGCGGAGCCACCCGCGGCAACGCCACAAAACAAACAGGGCGCGACCCAGATGGGACTCGAACCCACAATCCCCAGCTCCGGAGGCTGATGCCTTATCCATTAGGCCACTGGGTCACCCAGCGGAGCTTGCGCGCTCCGCCTAGCAAGAGCTCCGCCCGGCCGGTACCGGCTCCGCCCCCCCGCGGGCCGTCACGTTCTCCCCGCTCGCGGCGGGCAGGCCCCGCCCCTCCCTCCTCGCACTCCATTGGTCGAGATGCCCCCGGGCCCCGCTCCTCAGCGCGTGCCCGCGGCTCCGCCCGAGCCTCAGAGCGGGTTCCCGCCCTCGGCGCGAGCGCGTCCCTGTCAGACCCGCGCGCGGCCGCTTGAGGGGACCTGCCCGGGGCCGCCGCACTGTCCCGGGGACCCCCGGGCACCGCCCGCCCTCCTCTGCCCCATAACCTCACCCGCAGCTTGGCCGCTGTCCTGCCCCAACTGCCCAGTCTCCCTCTACCTCTCTGTCGCTTAATTCTGCTGGCAAGAGCCTTCGGAGCTGTCACCTCCCTCACAGCCCACATCACCTCGGGGATCTCAGGCACTGCCAGCCCTCTCCCTGCCGTCAACACCCATCCCTGCGCACCGATTTCACTGCTCCAGACCATGCACTGCCAGCGATTCATGGCCCAATGGAATTGCTTCGTGCCAACCCTCCGATCCTTCAGGAGCAGGTGTTTTACCTCTATTTCTACTTTAGAACTGCCTTTTTTTTCTGTATACTACTCTTAAGCTTCCATTTGTTAGTAATGTGCTTTCTCTTCTCTTGGCTTCCCTGCTCTTGTTTTTGTGGGTGTTTTTGACAAAGCTCAGCACAGTACAAAGTAAGGCCCAAAATCAGCAATATGAGATGTCACTGGTAATTCCTCCTCCTCAGCAAACATCCTCCACACTTGTGTGCACCTACAGATT